ATGCCTTCACCTCTAGTAGATGATTTATGGAAATATTTAAATGTGTTTCAGCAAGTTAAACATGTCAGCGCATGTCAAAACATTTAAGTTATAATGAGAGTCTATGACCTTAGCACAAACATGATGTCAATATCAAAAGACCTCTTGCCATAATTGATGCCTTCCATGAATTCAGTCTCTTTGAAACGACTTTTTAGCCAAGCTCAAAAAAGTTAACTACTGCATGTATCCCTGACTTAAGTATTTATGGAATTAATCTTTGTGGAATTAAAGAATTTTAAAGACTAAAAATAATTTGATTGTGCTCACAGTGGGAATAATGTCTTAATAAGGGCTCAGTAAAAGTAAATCCTTATTTCTATTAATAGGGAAGAATAAACAATATAATTTGCACCAATGTGGTTAGCAAATCTGTTATTCTGAATAATGAGTCAAGTTCAAAAAAGGAAATCAATCATTAAGCCTGGGGATATTACTACATGCAAGAACTCAACTAATGCTGAATGAGAGCTGTACTCTTGTTATTATGGCTTTGGTTTTTAAAAGTGCTTTCATTGGGTTTGATTTGACATTACTTTTTGGAAAGTTATCCTTCAATTTCAAATTAATAAATGATTACTGAGCACTAGCTATGCGCAACAAAATAACACGTGCTAATTAGGCATACTCTGCTAGGCACTATGTTGAATTACTAGAAAATTAGGGCTGTAGTGAATTTAAACTTATTCCATGATACCTGACAACTTTGCCATAAAGATTTACACATTCACAAATCTGATTTTATTTCATACAATTTTTAAGGCCATAATTCAATTACATTTCTCAATTTCTCAAACTTTTTATCCTGAAAGATTACTAACAAAAACATCTTGACTAACATTCTCTTGTGATAAGCTGGCAAATCATTTGTCACAAAAAAATCTTGGTTCTTTAAACAGTTCTTAACAGTACCTCTAATTCCCATACTATTAAGCCTTGAAGTCAGTGAACATTCTGTGTTGAATGCTACAAACATGGTGTGAGTGAAAATGAATCAGACGCCATCCTCAGCCTGAGAGCACCCTGACAGCCCACACTTATTTTAGTATATTAGTCTTATTTCTGGCTACGTGTCCTATTGCAAGGGCTCACATTGCTATTTTAAATAATCCTGTTTTTGTTTAGTCTGGCAGCTTTTCATCCAACTCTTTAATTGTGTTCTTACATGAGTATTTGTCATATTTACTGCATTGGCACAGTTCATTCTAATCTGGCATACAAATTACAATGAATTTTTCTTCAGAAACATGACACTTTCACATTAGAGAATTATACATTTCTAACCAGGAGTATATTGTTCCATATATTAAAAGCTGTTGAATGACAGAAAACTGAGTCTTGAAAAATAAACATAAGGCAGAGAAAACAGAGCTAGGTATTAAAATGCTTTTTGGAGAATGCTAAACATCTGATGAATTAATGAACATGTTAAGGTTAACAGGGACATTCAGAAGTGGCCTTCATTGGGAAGAGGACACTAATCGTAATGACTATCATAGTCAGCAAATCTGCTTAAAGATGAACTCAAGTATTTTGTCCACCTTCTTTTAACTGACCTGTAAATGTGACTAACAGAATGGCCAACGATATGTAAGCTAAGAGTCAAAGGCAAGAAGAATACTGCAATTACCTACAAGCTGACATCGTATCCACCAGCCACTGGTAGAGTATGTGGCACTTGCCCTGGGCTCGGCACTTCTCTCGGTGGACATGGAAGCTGTCCATGTTTTACCAGTGAACTCCATGGAGTGATGCTCTTCCTACAGACCGAGAGTGTACCTCAGCTCAGCGGTCTCCATGCGGAAAACCAGGTCCTCATGTAGAAAGTATTCAACAGTTCGTGTCATGCTCTCACGAACAAAACATTTTTTTAAATGTGTAAGATGGGAATCACATAAATGAATGCAGATTTAACACAAGACTAAAAGCCAGCCAGAACACATCTGAAATTGACTTTTGTTGTTTCTGAAGTAGAATCGCTCACCAACAGCCTCTTTGTGAATATTCTTTCTAGTGGTCAGTTTGTGACCCAGAGGTCATGTAAGTCCCTAATGGACTTCATCTCTGATAGCAAATAGAACACAGAATGATATTACAAGGGGGCATTGCATTGCCTTGCCCGGAAGACATGCAGCTAATGCTCCAAGAGGTAAAAAGGGTGGGGAGGGGAAATGTCAATTCACCAACAAGACTTAAAATTTCTGTTGTAGGAAACTGCCCTTCGTAACTTCACAATGCTCTGTATTACGATTATTTTCAATTTCGCTTATTTTAAAATTTTATTTTAAAGGTAGGAAAACAGATAGGGGACACAGATATCTTCCAGCCACAGGTTCACTCCTCAAATATATCCAAGAGCTGGGAAACAAATTTAATCTTGGTTCCCACAGCCCAGCTAACCGAGCTATTACCTAAATGACACTTTAACTGCTGTAAACAATTCCATTGTTTAAAAAAAAAATGAATTATGGATGCTAATAGTTTGATAAAATATGAACTTTCTCCCCTGCCTTATCCTACATTTATACCCCTCCTATTGCTTATTTTCCTGTGAGTAACAGATGCAAATGTGGCATTACTGTATGAAAGAAATAAAAGAAAGGGAGAGAAGGCATGGAGGAGAGAAAAGAAATAATTTGCTCTGTGTCTTAACAAAGATTTAATGATACTACCTGACGAAATTTTTTAAAAATGCCTCTACCTCTTAAGAAAGTGAAATAAGCCAAGCAATATTCATATCTTCTTTTGGGTAATATGGCCTTGAAGCCTTCTTTTCTGGATTGAATTATGTCTGTATGTTGAAGCTCTAATTCTCTGAACCTAAAATAGGCCTGGATTTGGAAATAGTCTTAGGATGGAATCCTACTGGAATAGTGTTGGCCAATAATCCAATATGACTGGTAGCCTTTAAATGGAGAATTTGTAAACAGAAATGGTTACAGGCAAAGCCAAAGGCCAGGAAGAAGGCAGTGCAAACAAGACAAGCCAGAAACTATCAAAAAGGCAATGGAAGTTAGGGTGGAAGCACAGGAAAGGTTCCTTGGCATCCTTCAGAAAGAGCCAACCTTTGATCTGGACTTCCAGCTTGTCAAAATACAAGACAGGGAAATTCTGTTGTTCAAGGCACTTGGTTTATGAATCAACAGCCTGGGCCAAATGGTGTACCTTGTCTTAGTCACTGATAGAGTATTTTCTATCTTGATAAAGCAAGTTATCCCCTACCACAGCCCCTACTAAAACCATGATGGGGTACAAGCCAGAGTTCTTTTCTAGATGAATCCTTAAAATCACTAACCAGGGAAACTAACACTACATCCTGTCTTGCTCTCTCATGTTAACACAAAACAGAAGCAGAATTGACATTAAACAGGTACTCCTTAGAGACCTTTCCTTATTTATCATGAGCAATGGCCAGGTAAGACATCTATTGACTGGTGAGTTAATATATGAGGTACTGATAAGGGATAATAGTGTGGCCTTCTTTGTATTTCTGTTCTTCATAGCTGGCACCTCAATGCTTGCTATTTCATCTTTGGCATAAGATAATAGCAACTCTCATCTACAGTTTAGTTTCAAAATAATTTCAGTAAAAATAATACTTTTTTATTTGTAAGTAGGGGTTATCATTACGAAGAAAACCAAACCAGTGCATTTGTTTTCAGAGAAAGCTTTTCAGTAAGTAGCCTAAAAGATATGCGAGTCTTTTTTGCCATCTAGTGGCAATAGTAGAAATTAACCGAATAGGGCTTAATATAAACCACCTTTCACTATACTGAGGTGCAGGCAAAACAAAAATTGTATCTTGCCTGGCTTGATCAACTTAGGCTGTCTATATGCTAACTGTGGAAATAAACTCCATAAAATGTGCAAATATTTTAAAGAGTCAGATGGTCTAATAGGCAGTTAGGATTATAGTCCCCAGTGAAATTTTCTTTTGAAAATATAAAATCATGCTTCTCCTCTATTTTGCTCTTTGGTAAAAGCAAATTCCTCTTGGCCCCGGGCTTTATCGGAATAGCAGCTAGGCAGCTAGGTAGTGTCCCTGTTGGAATGTGAATTCTATTTCCCTTAATTTCAGTTTTATCACAAAACAGCAATGAAATCAGGAATGTGTTTCAGAGTAATGTAAAGGGCCTCCCCAAAAGCTGTCTTTGACCTTATCATGAGAGAGCAAGGAGACAGTGGCCGGGATTTCAGCTTATCACGACAGTGGGAGGAGGTGGATGCCAATCACACTGGTCTGATAGCTTTGTTTATTTTGAATATGGAGCAGTTAAGAGCACAGCCTTTTGTTGAGTTTACTCCCTGCCCTCTAGTTGATCCATTGTTTTTTTTTTTTCCTCAAATTGTGCTTAAAAGACATCACTTTCACAATTTTCTGGGTTGTTCTCTTGAAAACCTCCCTCCTGACACTGGGGCAGGAGGTTTCTACCTAACAAATGGCATTTTGCTTATTGAAATTTACTGGATGAAAATTCTTCTGTATAAGACAAACTAGGTTGCCTTTTGTTTTTCATATCAAAATTCCCCACAACAGTATTATATGTTAGAGGGGAAGGGCTGGTGGTAACCTAGCATTAAGCCACTAAAGTTGCCTATCAAGCGACTGGACTCCAGCTTCCTGCTGAAGGAGTTCTTGAGGCAGTGGCAAGGATTCAAGTCATCCCTTCCACTCACATGGAAGACCCAGTTGAGTTCCTAGCTCCAGTTTTGGCACAGCCCAGTCCCTGCAGTTTTGGTTGCTTGGGGAGTAGCTCAGTGAAGGGGAGATTTCCCTCTCCATTTCTTCTATGTGACTTTCTGCCTATAAATTAAATAGATGAAATTTTAAATGTAAATAAATACAAGGAGAAAAATTATAAAAATAGTTGTAGCTAATCCTTCCAAAGGAACATTTAAGACAATATTGAGAGAAATGAAGCAATAGAGTTGATGCATGAGCTGTGTCAGGGTAAGTCAGTATGGGCTTCCCTGGACTGTCCTCTTGTGCTTGTCTGCAGGACCATGACCTTCGTGATGAAGTATTTATTCATTTAGCAAATCTGTACTTAGTCATTATCATATTCCAGCAATTGTAACAACCAAAAGCTGACTAAAACAGGCAACCAGGTAACACAAAGAGCATCTATTTAAATGAGGTAATCCTTCTCTTGCTGGGCTTCTAGAATGCTACAAAATCTCATGTATCTTTGATGATCTTTTTACTAGCATAGTCCCAATCCGTGACTCCAGGGCACAGAATCACTTGGTTCTTACTTCCCATAACTTTCAGACTTAGATTGTCTGGAGTTTTTTTCACACTTGGCTTTTTATTTATTTGAAAGGTAGAAAAAGAAAGGCTGGCAATCCAGTACACTTTTCAAATGCTCCCAAAAGCAGCGGCTGGACCAGATCAAGTCCTGGGTGGGGTGCAGAAATTCCAGGCAGCCTATTGACTGCTAGGCAAAATGCCTATCCCAACAACCTTCTTCAGTAGATATCAGTGAAGTGTCAAAGGAATCTAGCCAACTCCCTATTCAGGAGACATTGCTCTCAAGGTTTACCTTGAACATAATCCTCCTGGGATCACTGGACTGGGCAGCCAGGCACCCAGTGCTCACTGTCAATAAATTTTTGTATTTTTCTAAGGAATTTCCAAATGTGTACAATAATAATCATTTAAGTAAACACCTGCCTGGGCCTTTTAGGATCTTAGCTCAGAGCTCATTTCATCCACCCCCCCCCCTTCCCCAATCTTCCCAAATTGTATTTCCCTATGCCATTTTAAATCCCTGAACGGAGTTAACTATATACTAAATATATAACCCTTATAACCTGTACCCAAGTAATAGACAGGTGTGAGTATTTTGGATGTCAGCCCTCAAACTCTTCCCAATCCACTTTAATATAAAAATTTGTACTTCAGTCTTAACATATTACCAACCCTTCTCACAATCCTGCAGAAGTGATTTAATAAAAATTCAAATCACATTGATCCTGTTATTTTGTCTGGAAAAAATAAGCAAGCAAAAACCCTTCCCTCTCCCTTATCTAAAATGCAAAGTATGAGCTCCTGAACTGACACAGACTGCCCATATACCATTCCAGTTCTACCACTTGCTGCTCTTTGGTTCATATTTAGCAAACTGATCATTTTAATCTGCCTGTATTTCTTAAATGCAATATTTTACAACTCAATGTTGCAAAATTCTCCTTTTTTGCACTCATTGAGCTGTGCTCCCCCCACCCCCCCCCCCACTGTTTTGCAGATTTAGTTACTTTTATTTAAAGGACATATTTACAGAGAGAAGGAGAAACAGAAAGGGAGCTCTCCCTCTTATTCACTGGTTTCCTCCCCAAAAGGCCACAGCAGCCAACACTCAGCTGCTCCAAAGTCAGGAATCAGGAGCCTCTTCTACGCCTTCCTCATGAGTGCAGGGACCCAAGAACTTGAGCTATACTCTTCTGGTTTCTCAGGTCATAAGCAGGGAACTGGATTGGAAATGGAGCAGCCAGGCCTAGAACAAGCATCCATATGGGATGCCAACACCCAGACTGAGGATTAACATGCCACATCACTATGTTGGCCCCTCATTGAATTGAATTTTATTATAACTTCCGAAATTCAACACTGATAAGGATTTTCTGTGATGCCCTGTGTAACTCATTCCCAGGTCACAGTGGAGAATATTATCTTACATAAGTGCCTTAGAAATAGTTTTGTCGTTATTCTAGACTGCCCTGCTTAGAGCATCTGAGTATCTTATGTATAGCAACTAAGAGTAATGTTAAGTTGGGGCCATTCAAGAGCAGGAAAAGAGCACACAGAAATGGTCTTCACTTGCTTGCTTTTCTGTTATTGCTGTTTTTTAGAGGGAGGGTCTGGGGCGGGAGTGTTAGAAAGGCTGGTTTTAAAGCAGACGGACTTCATCCAAGCAAAAGGAATCCCTGGATCCGCTGGCCCTACTTAGGAGTTTCCCACATTTCGGAATACACATTTCCAGTTCTGTTTCAACTATTTCCTTAATACCATTGTTCTGAAGAAATCATTTGATTGTTTAACTGTATCCACTAAGTTTTTGACTTGTGCCACAATCAGAGATGGGGCACATACATAGTGGCATTGCTAGAATATCTCAGCTCATTTAATTTTACAGAAAACTGATAGGTTTACTCCCAATTTCTCTCTGCATTACCATACCATACTCATATCTCTTTGTTAGTCATGTGAGGTTTCCCATGAGCTAACAACGCCAGAAGTAGAAAACACATACGGGTAGAGAGTCAGGTCCACCTCTCAGGTTCATGTCTGAATTGTTACTTATTTCACCAAGTGGCTTTAGCCTTCTGGGTATTTTGAACACCATTCCATAAAGGAAACATTCATCTCTGCTCTTCAGACTCAGTGTAGAATTCTCATAGCTTCCAGTCTTGGTCACCTGCAGTTCCTCACATTGGTTGGGCTCCCTAATAGATCACCATGTAATCACCTACTTACCTACTCTTTGAGTTTTATCCTCAGTGCCTACACTACAGTCAGAAAGTCACTCCATAATTTTTTGTACCAAATTAACATATCTTTTATTGCATTTTTGATGAACTTTTTGAAGCACCCTCTTATTAACCTGCTCACACTTGTGATTATCAAATGAAAAAAGGTTATAACCTTTTATACATATATGTATACACTAAACATATTTGATATTATATATACTTTATATTTTATACAGGAACATACATGCACAAATTAGCAATTCCAATGCACTCACTATAGCCCTCTAAGAAAGAACTGTTATAGTTTGGTGTCAAAGTATCAAGAATCTGAGTTCAGAGGTGTTAGGATTGAAAGGGAGCATTAAAGATAATCTAGGGTCTGACCTGTGATGTAACTGGTCAAAACACTGCCTAGGCTACTTCTGGATACTCATTCTGATCCAGCTAATACACCTAGAAGGAGGCAGATGACAGCCCAAATATTGAGGGCCTGCCACCCACAGGTGAATCACATGGAATTCCTAGACCCTGGCTTTGGTTTAGCCCGGAGCATTTGGGGAGCAGTCCATTAGATGGAAAATCTCTCTGATCATCTCTACCTCTTTCTCTTTGTCACTCTGGTAATTAATTTTTTAAAAAATCTTTATCTAAATTTCCTCCAGTTAAAAACAAGATAAAAGCAAGTATCAATTTATAAAATTTATACGGAACCAAGAATATTTTTCAACCTTGGGAATGTGGAAAATTATCTAGCCAGGTTTCAAAACATTACCAATTAAAAACATCAGTAATTTATTCTCTTGTAAAAGTTAAAACATTCTATCTGTTCTTCTACTCTATCTGATATTAGCTCAGGGTTTTGCTTGTATACCGACCCTGCCACTCCACCCCAGGCACACAAGGAGAGCTCCCATGCTGTTGCACTTCCTAAATATCTACAATGTAACCTGGAGCTGAGAATACAAATTCCCACAGGGGTCGTAAGAGCTCAATCACATGAGCCATCACTATGGCTCCCCACACCAAGTCTGCATCACCAGGATGTTAGAACCAGCAGCAGAGGGGGCCATCAGATCAACACACTCTTCTTTGGGATATGAGGGTCCTAACTGGTGTCTAAACCTCTAGACCCATACATCTAGCTCAGGTTATACATAGCCATCCTTTATCATATTGTAGGAGTTTCTTATTATTGCTATTTTGCGGGCAGATTTTATCATAAATATTGCTTTAATTTCTGTAAATCCCTCCTTGTTTTTGTGTTTAAGCATTTATTGACATGTCAAGCAAATTTTTCTCTTTTATCATGATAAATGTTAATTTAAATGATGATCAGGACCCTGAGGATAGCTCAGTGGCTAAATCCTAACCTTGTTCTTACCAGGATCCCCCATGGAAACAGAATGGAGGAGACAGGGAAGGAGGGAAGAGGAGATGGTGGGACCTGAAAGGAAGGGAAGTGTAGCAGTCTTCTTGCAACTATGTCTATAGAATTCATGAAATTTATCCTGATTTTATTAATAAGAACAATTAAAACACAAAGCTACAAATGTACTTCCTCACAGTGGAGTAAATGAAACATTTTGTAGCCACAAGTAACATTAGTTTTAAAATAAAATTAACAAAATAGGAAATAAATATTTCAAAAGTATGCATTTTATCATGCCTATTGGATTTTAATGACATTTCTGTGCAGAAATAAGTTATAGAAATGGCTCTTATAGAGATTAATGAATACAGTCCACAAAAAGTGATATTGCTGATCACATATTAAATAATTCACTAATAAAGGTATTAAAATATGAAGTTTTCTCTGTAGAGAAGCTTTTAGCTACCACATCAACACCTTTAATTGTTAAATATCTATTCATCTTTTTTATTTCTTAATGTATCAGTCTTGGTAAACAGCAATTTCCAACAAATATATACACTTAACTTTTCTAATAAATTCTTAATAATATCCTTTACTCACTTAAAAAAAATCTGTATGAAGTGTAGGAATACTATTATTTCATTCCTAAAATGTTTAATTTTTATTTTTACCTTTTTTCATAATAAGTTATCAATTCTATTTGTCTTTCAAAATATTCCAACTTTTTGCTTCATTTTTCTGATATATTTTCATTTTTCTTTTGATTTGCTTCTGCTACTTACTATTTTCTTCTACATATCTTGAGCTACTCTTCTCTTCCTCTCCCCCCTCCCAGTGTTTTGCTTTTGAAATCTTACATAACTGATCTTTCTTTCTAAAGAGTGCTTGGGTGGCAGCCCCAACATTTTGATCTTCAATGTTTCCAGGTTCAATTTGAAGTATATCTTAGTTTCATCTGTGATTTCTTTTTAGACACATCAGTTATCTAGGAGGGTGTCACTTAAGTTACACATTTTGTAATTTTCTGATTATTATAATTATTGGCTTCTTCTTTAATTCAGTATTATTGAGAGGATACATTCAACGTATTTTCATCATTCTAAAACACACTGAGATTTGTTTTGCAACTAGAATGTGCTATATGCCAGTGACTCTTCCATTTTCTCCTAAAAGAAA